CTCTCTTTGGTGGCTTGTGCCAAAAGTCAACCGTTCTCCTCGTAGTTTTTGTCGTTGTAACTTTTTATACACGGTTGATTTTTATATTTTATAAAATTCATAACCAATTCATATGGAGTCGGATTTCTACGAAATTTATATTTCGGGATCAAGATGACATGTAATTTTGGAATATGCTATAAATAACATAACTTTTGTGCACTTATTTTTACGGATTACGGAAGTTTTGGCTGATGTTTTGCTGTAGCTTAATACAAAATCTTATATTTTAATCTTAAATTGATAAGTGTTACGTATTAGCTAAAATGTTCAAAACATACTCCAAAGAATCCTCATTCTACAGGCTTATTTGAATCCTCGTGACTTTCCTTGAGTCGAGTACGGATCATGTGCTTTCAGTAGTATGGGCAGAATAATACCTTCCACAACTATCCATACTTTCCTCAAGAATCATCTCAAATCCTCTAAGTCACCTCCTTATAATGATACTCCCAAAATCTGCTAAGCAACGCACCATTTGCACGAAAGCACTTCCTAGGATTCCATACCTCACCCTGCCATCAGCTGCTGAAAGACTCCTACTAATTTCAATTAACTACTTCATGAATACAATTACATGCAACAAAACTTAAATAATCTTTCGACTAAAAGACCCAGCCCTACAATGGTTGGACTCAGACAAGAGCTACGTAATAAGGTCAAATCAATCATTCTAAAATTTTGTAACCTTTACAGCATGTCACTTAACATATTCATCTAATAGTTAACCCACAACAATATGAGCCCTACAAAGCACAAATTAAGCAGCATTCGAGCAGTAAAACCCTATAAGCAACATACATCAAAAGGCATCTTTCCTAATAGGCATCTCTCCTAATAGGCATTCTATCATGTAACCCTGAACACATCCTTATGCTAACTTCTATCATGAAAAGCATTTTGTAACACATACAACATATCAAAATTTATGGGTATTTTGGGAATCACTTACTTGAGCTCGGTTGATTGCATGCATCACATCCTTTTCTTTGTAAAAAAATCTTTTTAGAAAAATAATTTTCTTTCAAAAGGATTTGTCAATTCCTCAGTTTGAGTTTAGACACACCTGAGTGTGTGCCCGAATCCCTTAAACCAAGGCTCTGATACCAACTTGTAATGTCCCAAAAACACCAATAAAATATTCATTTTTAAACCATCAATCGATACAACCATTTGTTCCAAAACCAATCAGAGTGAAATGTATCTTTCAAACATCAGAGTAAAAAAATAGTGCAGAAAAGCCATTAAGGGATATTGTACGGTCAAGTCGGGTCCTTCCCTTTGGAACTGGAAGTACTTGAAAATGTGTAAACCATCAAACCGTAAGCACAAAGCTTAGTGAGTTCCCAAAAATACTACATATCATACATACATTGCCATGGGCTACCCCCATGGTCTTACATACAAGTAGCATAGGCTACCCCCATGGTCTTTCATCGCACTGCCATGGGCTACCCCCATGGTCTTACATACACGTGACATAAGTTACCCCCATGGTCTTTCCTCGCATTGCCATAGGCTACCCCCATGGTCTTATTAATATACAAGTGTTACAGGCTACCCCCATGGCCTTTCATACAAATACCACGGGTTACCTTTGGGGTCTTTCATGCAAGTATCACAAAGAAAACTAGCATCCTACATAGTATAGTGACAAGACTCACCTTGCTGACAAAATTAATAGCTAACAGCTCTCACACCCAACAAACGGGTGCTAAACACCTCCTACTAAAACCACACTGGGTAAACCTATAGTCTACCTTCTAAAACTAGAATTTTGACCAAGATTCAACCCAAGCCAAAAGTCAATGGTCAAGGTCAAAGTTAACAGTCAACATCACCAACATCTGACCCTCACATTGTATGCAGCCCATGGTTTTGTCGTGAAAACGCACTCAGCTCGATCCCAAACTTGGTCATGACCCAACTTGGCCAAATTGGTCTCGGTCAACTCAATCAGAAGTCACCACAACATGGACCCTCCTTGGCCACGTCGTGGACACGTCTGGAAAAAACAGTCGAGTAGTCATCCGCTGCCACGTTGTGACACTCTCCATGTCATGTCGTGACTTCCGGCTGGGAAACATCTTAATAGATTGAGTCCTTAACCCATTAAGCCTTCAACTCCAACTTTTCAAAAAGCTTCTAAGGACTCTAAAGGCTCATAAAAATGTTAACTTTATGGACATGCATGACCCATGCATGTCCTTTACTCAAGCTAGGTCAAAAGGCAAGAATATGGCCTAAAACACATGCAAATCTCCCAAATCCCAACCACATTTTAGATCTAAAAGATATAAGGCTCAAAGGAACCTGATGAGCCATAAAGTTGCAAACTTTATCTCATTCCAACATACAAACTCTTTTTATAGACTAAAACATACAAAGAAAGCTAGATATACAAGGAAGAATCATAAAGGTAGGAGCTTTAAGTCTTACAAATGGTCCAAAGAATGATTCCAAGGGTGGAGTAGAGTGGCTTGCTTGATCTTTGCTCCAAAACATCCTTCTTCTCTTTCAAAGTGTACCAAGAGCACTAAAATGAGCCAAAACTCTCAAAGAGAGGATAGGGTTTCGTGATAGAGGGTTGGAGGCTGAAAATGAAACCCTAAACCTATGGTTAGGGGTTTAAATACAAAGGAAAGCATAAAAGATCATGGGCTTAGGTTGCAGCCATACTCACATCGTGACATGCTTTCGGATATGTGTTCTTATCTTTGACACGTCACGTCGTGACCTCTCTATGGTCACGTCGTGACACATGGTTTTTTCCAAAACCATGCATTTGACTCGTTAATGCCCAACATTGATCCATCCCGGAAGACGCATGTTACAAATAATAATAATAATAATAATAATAATAATAAATATAAATATAAATATAAATATATAATATATAAATAAGATGTTATTAGTAATAATATAAATAATGTTAATAATACCATTATAATAACAACAATACCAAAAATAAGAAAAATAATCATATAATACTAAAATAATATCATTTTCCGAATATTGTTCCAAATATTATCGGAAATACAAATAATAATACTAATATTAATAACATAATAATGTGTTAATAATAATAAAATGTACATAGTATTAACGCTAAAGACATGTGCACCAATCTCGTTGTGTGTGGATGTTTTTTCTTTTTTCCCCTTGGAAATACATATGAAGCTTCAGGCTACACGTCTACACGGTATGGGGTCGTTTTCCCCTATTTTTGTGCCCACAATGGCGTGGTAACGCCAAGAACACGCCCCATGGTGGCGTTATGGTGTCCGACGTTGACACTGTAACGGATTGCAACGCATATTTGGACGACGAATTTGAATGTTTCTGCGCGACTTTGACCGATTAACGGTAATTTTAAATAAAAAAAGTTTATTTTTGTTTACCTATAAATACATACAATATATATCAAATTCATTCCCATCATTTTTTTCTTACTCTACATTTTATAAAATTTCAATGCTTCCCAACTAGAAAAAATAGATTTGTTCGACCCGTTTAACGATGATGGTGATGATAATGATATCTTCGTTTCTATGATGTATGAGTATTACATGAACATCCTATTACAATCAGATCCAACTCATCTACTAATAAGACGTGAAATGTTAAACAGAAATCACGAAGAAAGACACCGACGTCTAGTTCATGATTATTTTGTGGATAAATGTGTTTACCAGGCAAGCGATTTCAAAATAAGGTTTCGTTTGCGAAAAAATGTGTTTGTACGGATAGCCAACGCCTTGGAAAACAGATATTATTTCTTTCAGTTTTTGTAATATACAAATATAGCTTTTAGAAAAAATAAATATATTTTTTACATAGTAAATATATTTTGTAATGTTTTTTTTAGAATTTTAGATTTTTTTTTTTGTTTTGAAATGTTATTTGTTCTATGTTGTAATGTTTGTTTTTAGAATTTTAAATGTTATGTTTAATTAAAAAAATTAGGTTTTATTTAAATAACATGTTTTATTAAATTAATTTTATTTTTATAAATATTAAAAAATAAAACGAAAAAAATGATGACATGGAAATTAGTGGATGTTATAATATTTTACCCATTTCCTCAATTAGCACGTGAGGTGTTATAACATGTCTTAACATGTTACCCACACCTAATAGCCTCATGAAACAGGAAAATTACCGATAGAATAGCAAAAACTTATATTCAACATCAGAGTACATAGATGAAAACGCAAACCCATGTTCGAATCTTGTGGGGCAGTGGCGGATTTACGTGTCTCCCCGGGGGGCACCCACTAAAAATATTATATGCAACTCCTAGTGTAAGGTGAACTACAGTAAAAATTCTTGCTTCCGCCACTTTGTGAGGTGCATGTTGTTTTTTTTCTTTGGGGTATTAAAAATTCAACACTGAAATATGTAGAACTTCCCTGGAATTTTTGTAGGAATATAAATTAAAAAAAAAATGTGCATAATTGGAATTTACAAACCCATGTTCAAATCTTGTGTGTTGCATGTTTTTTTTTTTGGAGTATTTATTTCTTTTAGAAATCTGTAGGAACTTCCGAAGGAATATAACTTTCATAGGAAAACAAGCTATCTCTCTAGTAGTGTCTTGTCTACTCAAACTATGAAGTGTAAAAATGTTTCTATATATTGCAAGAATAATGATGACTAAAATTATAATACAAGGACAATATCTTTGAAATATATCAAGTACAATAGGTACAGAAGAATATTCCCAAAATTTCTCGACTATATATGTGTTTTATATACGTAGCAACAATGTCATGTACACATTTGAGACTTTAACAGCTAAATACTTTGCAAGTTAAATTTCAGCATTATTTATGACTATTGGACCCTTTTTTCTACGGTATGTTTGCTTTGAGAAAAAATTCATTAGCTGAAAGGAGTGTCCCATTACTAATAGAGACATCAACCCGATCCATACCAACACAATACCATTTACCACATTTCTAAATGTTCGTGCCTCGGGTTTTGGTGTCAATACCGATATGGAAACCCAATAAGTGATTGACATAGACGAAGTAGCGATCCACATAATAACCATCAGAATCCACAAGAAAACACGATGCTTCAAAAAAGGCAATCCACTGATAAGCAACAAGATAATGCTAAGAGTCGAAACAAATCCCACCGTATTGCAAACCAGAAAGACATGGTATAAATTTGGATGATTGTATACCATGACAGCATATCCAGCCCTACGGTTTGGATCTGTCGTTGACCCATCTTGCCAAACACCACTGGGAGGATTAGTACCTGCTTGAAAGGCCATTGTTGCTATCAATGATGCCACCACCATCAAAGTGTTTCGCTTTTTGTCCAACCAGTCGTCGTCATTGTTAGAGTCTTTTTTCAAGTGAGAAGGCAAACTGGGTTTCTTATTATACTTTGAGTTATCTAATTCCATTTTGATTCTAAAATTTTGAGGCACTTCTCCTAGAAAACCTTCCGTTTTCAACTCAAAAGCTCCTGCTCGCATCAGAGACTGTATTATTTGTTTATCTTTCACATCTCTTGGACCTTGAGCCAGTATATCCATGGGTGTGTCTCCATTAGTATTTGTTGCATTCACTTCTATTGTTGTATCGAGTAGCAAGAAGTTTATAGTCTAACAAATGTTCAAGATAGGATGAATCAGTCATAGTGAATACAAAAATCTTGTAAACACAAATCATTATATGGCTTATATTAAATTTTTCACAATATGCATACCTCAATTTGTTTATCAGCCACAGCTAGGTGTAGAATGTTATTGCCATCAGCATCCTTAGAGTTTACAAACTCATGATCACACCTCTCTGCTAAAAACTTCAAAACCTCCAGCTGGTTACGCTTCACACACAAGTGCAAGATGGTCTCCTGTTGCACCATGGCTCTAGCTGCATGGGGATGGGCTTGCACAAGCTCTTTCACGACGTCGTATCTTCCTTTAATTGCTGCAAGATGCAGAGGGTTTCTCCCATCACGATCACGTGCAAGGCATGTCTCAGGGCTAGCTGATACCAGAGCTTTAACTACTTCCACATGGCCTTTCGCTGATGCTATGTGAAGAGGCAAGCGTCTCTGTGAATCAGGCTCCATAGCAAGATGAGGCTTCCGGATTACGATCTCCTTAACAAAGTCTACATGTCCAAGCATCGAGGCAACATGTAGAGGCATGTCGTCATTATTGTTTAGTGTAACTCGATCAAGAATCAGTGGATCTTCTTGAAGTAATATAAGCAAGGACGTTGAGTTTCCGTCTATCGATGCTTCATAAAGAAGCCTCTCCATCTTCTCCGGTATTCGCAAATACAGAAAACAGAAAAATATCTCCGGGAAGAAATTTGCGATATATAAGATTATTATGATAATTTATACTATATTAATTATATATAGTTTGGAAGTTTCCTGTCTACTTAAAGACTTTTCTCAAGTCAATTTAATCCAACTTATTATCTTGTTTGAACAAATCAAATAAATTAGGTTGGTGCAGCATGCCTACTGCGATCTATGAATATTACTAGTCACGAGGAATGCTTGACAAGTGACAATTGACTCCACTTTTATATATTTTGATGATAATCTAGAAATTGGACTGCTTCTTCATACTAAGAATATATATTTTTACAAAATACAGGAACATTTATGGACCAAGTCAAATAAAGTGTAACAGATTATTTGAAAAAAAAAAGGTTGAAGGACTAGTCAACAAAGTTGTAAGGAGATCTCCAATGCATTGAACTCTTAAGAGTTTAATGGATTGCCACATCCGCATTTCACTAATTATATCATTTTATCCATTAAACTCTACACTCCATTAAACTCTTAAGAGTTTAATGAATTTCCACATCAACATTTAATTATATCTTTTTATAAATAATATTGTAAAACTATAATATTACATTAATTAGAAATTAAAAGTTACAAATTGTAAATTATTAATTAATGATTGTTGTATATGTTATTGTTTTTAAAATATTTTTAAGATTTAAATATTTTTTTTGTTTAGAATATTATAATATAAATTACTTTGATGATTTAAATTATTCAATATAACATAAAGTAAATTACAAATATTATAACTAAGAAAATAATGACATATACCTTGTGTCTATATGTAGGGTGTAATTATTTAAATACAAAATTTTATTGGTGAAATGGTTTTAAAAAAAAAAAAAAAATAGCAAACCCCACTTCATTGAACTCCACCCACAATGGTGGGATTATGTATTGAACTCCATTTTTTCCCATTAAACTCACCATGAAATCCCCATTAGGGATGGCCTAAGCTAAAATATGTTGTATATTTTTATAGTCTTTGTCATTTGAATCGTTTTATATAGGCCATATCCCATAAAAACCAATATATTTTGGGTTTCTTTTCTTTAACATAGAAATAATCTTGTGCAACTTAGAGTTTCTCTTTTTTTTTCAAAGAAAAACACAACTCGTAATAAATAAATAAAAAACAATTAAAAGAATATTTTCTGATTAAAGTTAAATCTTATATATATATATATATAAAGTACTAATTTTTAAATCATTAAAAATCTTAGAGTGGTGAAACTGGAAAATTTTCAAACTATAGTAGTTTTTCCTTTTTATATATTCAAAGCTTCCGTATGTGGTTAAATAAGAAAAAAAATCTTTCTTAGTTTATTTCAAACTATGGTTATTTTTATTGAATTTTACTTTCTAAAAAAAGAAGTTATCTAGTTTTTACAACATATCTTCTATTAAAAGGTTCTCTAATTTTTCATGTATGTAATCGTATATTTTTATTATTTTATCTTAGATGAAAAAAAGATTAACATTAACACCAATATTAAATGCATGCAATAGCCATGTAATTAATATTAACATTCTTTTAAAACAATATATTCTCCTACGTGTAATAGTTATAGACTTCAATTTTTGTCCATTTTAGGACAAAATTGACTATGAGCGCGTTTTCTTTACTACAATAGGAAATTGATCAATCCTTTTGCTAAAAGTATCATCTCTTTTTCAGGCTAGTATGGTCTTTTTTTTTCCTCTCTAACGAAAAATTATTTTATTTTATTTAACATTTAGTTTGTTAGTGTGGACTATATAGAATTAAATAAGAATGATATTAATGATCACTTTTTATATTATAGTATCGTACGTGTTAGTGTTTGCAAAGAATTAAGATTAGTTTATGATAACTTCATGAAGATCAATAAATGATATTAGAAACCTTGCAATAGTTGTAACGCAAAAAGATACACAGTAACTGGTGCCCTACTTTAAAATAAACATATATAACCAAGAAAGTTCATTGGTAGCAGCTTTATTGGAGTAGTACCTTATATTTTTCTGCCTTGTAATTACGTTACATCGGTTTAAATCTATATGTATAAGTTGGTGATTCTAAGTCTTCATTTAGTATATCAAAAAACTAGGGTTTCATAATAGAAACCTGGTTATTTAAGAATCTTGAATAATTCAAGCTGCGGGAGCAATTCCACTATCATCGTCGTCATCGTCACCATCCATGGATGCATCAACACCATGGTAATAACCCCAGTTTTCATCTCCATCTATGGTGTCATCATAGGCGTAACCTTTAGAAATGGGTTGATGGTCATGGTCATGGCCTTGATAGTCATTTTCATCATCATGCATCTTCCATATCATCTTTACACCATGAAACATTTTCTTGAAGATTTATAGATAGAAGAGAACAAATAACCAAGAGAATGCTAGTTGCTATCTTTTCACCTTGAAGTTGAAATGGTTAGGAAATATAGTTTGAGAAGTAACATATATATAGAGTTAATTTGGGAATAACGGGTGAGGTGAGGGAATTCATCCCTCCGACCCCTCCCAAGCCACATGCTACATAAACGCCACATCAGTTTTCTGCCACCTATTAATTCCAACCATCCAATCCCTCAACATTTAGAAATGGAACCCACCTGACTCGTATTTTTTGGTACAAGTTATGACGTGCATGGTACACATTAAAAGGAGAGAAAAGAGAGTTGGGTCGTCGGGTTCATCAACCCGCTCAACCTTCAACTTTTGTGGTGTTTACATTTCCATCCCACACCCCATCTTTCACAGTTCCATCCACTTTTAAGAGGGAATCGGACAAAATATGGTTATTACGATGTTTTAAATCTATGGTCCCAATTCATTTGGCTTAAACTAAAAAGAAATAGGTTTTAATTGTGTCGTACACTAACGTGAGCTTGAACGAGCACCAACATAATATAATTACCATGATAAGAACTATTAGTAACTTGGAATGTAGAGTTCCAAATATAAGGCGTTCTATAGAAGGTATCCCTACAATCCGTCGGTTGAAGGTTCAAGTCTTATTTTGGACGAAGGTGTGTACTTTAAGGATAAATTAGAGGGTGTATTTTAGCCGTTAAAATGATGTATTTGTCTTTCTTATATATGTTTAAACCTTAGCATTAACTTTACTAGATCCATGATCTCTTAATTCATCCTAATTTTTTTCTTAATTTGCAACTATTTGAGCTAAGATCTCAAGGGTAGGTTGGGTTAAGCTTATACTATAATTAAATAGGTCAATCATGATCCTAATCTAGGAGGGTTATAATTATAATAATCTAGGAGGGTTATAATTATAAATGATAAAAAAAAATAGATTAAACTCATAACTTCTAAGGTTTTTCATATATATAGGATGAAAAATTAAATATCCTCATAATTTTTCCTTACTACCCATTTAGAGTGTGACAAGTAAAAATAAAACTGAACACTTACTATAATTTTAAATATGTAGGAATGTGGGTGCAAAGGAAAAGTAGGAGGATATTTGATTTTCTCATATAGGAATATAGGAATTAAGATTAAATATTATTATGTTAGGTGCTAATTAAAAAGATTTATCATGGTAGATGATTAAAAACTATATCATGTTACTTTGTTATATTTGCATTACAAAATGAGTATAATTAGTATTTTCTCGGTAAGCATATCATACATGCATCTGAAATTAATGATCCTTGTAATCTCACATGTCATTAAGTGTTAAAAAAGCCACTTTGACTTTTGAGTCAACCAATTCGAGATATTTATTGCCACGCGTTCATTAGCACACAAGTATAGTAATTAAATGTGTATATATTGTAGAGTATAAAATTAAATTTGGGATTTCTCCAAAACAAGTTTCAGCCACTTCAAGAAACTTAGTTTTGGTTCAATCATCGTTAGGTTTCTTAAATCATGTTAGAAACAAAAACGTTATGTTCTCCTACTTAAGCCTCCTAATTATAAGAAGGTTATAATGCTTTGAAAAAGCTAAACATTTTTGTTTCTTCTGTTATTCCTTCCTACATGTTTTGTAGAATGACATCGTTTTTACTAGGTATAGATAAGTTATAAGAATTATCCAGTACTTTTATAAAAATATAGATTTAAAACTTTGTGATTAACCAACTCACGTATCTCTTCCAAACTCATTGAGTAGTAAAAAACAATATTCAAGATCAAAATTGCAGATTATACCTGCCAATTTTCATTTATAAACCTAAAAATATCAATATTATAATACAATTATACAAATCTCTTTCATTTGCGGTCTCAAAGCAAAAGGGTAGGTAAAAATCTTGTGGGATGAACGGCGTAAGATAGGGTGAATGACATATTTGTGTTTGTGCAAGTGAATCCCGTGGGAAGGTGTGTGTTGATGTAGGAAAAGTGTGTTGCACATATGACATATCATTCTCCATGGATGCTTACATGGCATATTTCAATCCACAAAGACATGTTGAAGAAATTAAAGAATATTGATCTTTATGATGTATCTTTACAACCAAAGAGTGAATATATGTGTTGGTGGTGGAAGACAAATCATTTGGGTGGACTACTGGAATATTTCACTAATATGTAACATTAGGAACATTTTGTAATAATTATTTTAATCTTGCTATACTTATATGTTGTGTTAGTAACTATGTCAATATGACATAATAGGTGCCCGTGTTTCCTAACGGTTACTTGATAGAAGTAACCGTCAATATATAAATGGGTAAACTTAAGGATGAGATTTCTTACGGATGAGATTTAAACCGGAAAACCGATCCAGAACTGTTAGAACCAGAATATGTAGAACCAATTCGGGTTTAAGGTTTAAAGAGAGACTTTATCCGGGTTTGAGCCCTTCGAGTCCAGGTAAACCAGGTTTAAGAACTGGAACCGATTTTAAGGGCCGGAACCGGTTTTTATTTAAATATTATACTAATATGTTTTATTTTTATTAAATTGTTTGACATTATGAAAAAACCTTACAAAATAAATAAATAAAATATTGTTTTTTAATCCATCAAGCCTTTTTTTCTAACAAAAAATTGAAATTTTGTT